AACAAGGTTGCGTTAAACGTTTAACGCTACATTTTTATTGGCCGGGAAATCACGTGGTAGGATCCAGTTTTCCCTCATTCATTTCCATATTGTTTTGGTTCTCACTAGCATAAAAGTCATAAAAGTATTGTTTGTCTATAAATATTTTTTTAGTTAGTTTTGATACACATATAATTTAATAGGGTAGTATTTGTTATTTTCAAATTTAGTGGATAACAATTGTAAAAAATTAGTGAAAACAATCCCACGGACAATGTGACGGATTTAAGGTTATGTCAAGGTACGTCTCCTGTAAATATCAATTGATTAAATACACAAGTGGGCGACCTTTGTGCTAAAATACAAACTAAGGTACACAACGTTAAAGAGCAACGTTTGCATTTAATAATAATAATGATATCAATTGATTGTTAGGTTTTCTCTTCTGAAATTACATTATGACGCATTCACATGCGTTATTAATACAAATACATTTTCCAGGGCGCGACGATGAGGCAACCACAAGCACTTCGACTGGTTCAAGAGGTCCACGAGGGAAAAATGCACAATATGACCATGATTACAGAGCACGGAAGCGAGCGGAGCAGGAAAAAGAGTCGTTGAATAGAACTAGTGATCCTTCTACGACTGCTGATTCTTCTACAATTAACGTCGCAGGTTGCGAAGTTTAACTTCTTCCACGCGGAGGGACTCCACGCACTATTTTTTTTTTTTTATTTACTAGCCTTAAATTATTCAATCGCATCTACACCTATGACTTACATTTCCCACTATTCATATACAAGCAATTTTTGCATTCAATTTCAATAGTAAACTGAAAAAAATAAGCTTCAAAAAGTTGTTAATTTTAATTTCATTTGAAAAAATTTTAAATTACGTTTCTTTTCTTTCTTTATTTACAAAAAATTGGGCACCTGGGCCGCGCAGAAGGCCCCTATCCCATACATCATGAAATAGTATAAAAAGTTAAAATAAAAGACAGTTTGAGTTCAGCAGTCTATGGCGTGGCTGCACCTTGCTTGTATAACTGAACGAAAACGAAAATAATAAGAGCAACTTGTTGTAATCTGTGGATGGTTGTAGTTTGATTGTAAACGTGAGGTAACATAGGTCAGGATTTCAGTATTGGTAAAGTGTTTGATGCTGTGGCCTATTGGTACTTTGCATTATTAATGTAGACTATAGATGCTGGAATTGAAGACTATTATTTGTGCTGATAGTTGTAGTACGAGGCGTCGGAGGTGAAATGAGCGGCTATTGGTCTTAGTTTTTGGTCTTTTTTATAGTTCTCGAAGTTAAAAATCTGATTGAAGTTGGCTGTGCTGCATTTTATGGCTTTGCCGTAGAAGTCTGCATTTAATTTGTGTATATATTCGGATAGAAGCGGAATTTTGAGATCTTCATGGATGTTTGAATTACGTAGGAACCATCTGGCGCGGGTGATCTTTCTGAGTATTTTATTTTGACATTGGTTGAGCTTTTTCATTAGGTGTTCGGGTATAGTAGTCCAGGCAGGTGAAGCATATGTAAGTATAGGTCGGATCATGGAGGTGTATAGTATAAATTACGTTTGCATACCTGCCAACTTTTAATACTTTCGAGGATGATTTTCCCCAGTGGTAGTAAATAGGAATTTGAATTGCAATATTAGGCAGAAATATTGACAATCGACTAGGGGTAGGACGATTCCATAATGTTAGAGTGGAAAATTTGGGAAGGAGGGAAAAATAAGCTGAGGGTATAGGGCATATCTGCCAACTTTTAATCCCTTCCATTATCATTTATCCCAGTGGTATTAAAATCGAATTAAAACTTCAGTTTTAAGCAAACAAATACGTTGTATTTGAGAAATCTTAAGTTGACAACCATGATAGTAACGCATTTTAATATATGTGTTTAATTTTTGTAAGAATAGTGGTGATCAATATCATTTAAAAATTAAGATTATAAAAGAAAAAAATAGTATATAATTACTACCACTTTAAATATGAAAATAAAATCTTCCGGAAAATCCGGAAGAGTTGGTAGGTATGATAGGGGAATTTTTTTTTTCATTTGATTCTGGGGTTTATTGGTTACGTTTCTTGCGAAATTATAAACATTCCTTTCTAATGCATATGCTACCGACATATGCTTTAAAAAATTAAGATATTTTAAAGGAAATTATGGTGAATTATCGCCAATGAGAATTTATGAATCAAAATTACGATGATTTTCTAACTAGCTAGTTAATTAAATATCATCTGGATCTTTGTGCAGGGAGACAATATAATTTTTAATGGTTTTCCTGACCACTGCAAGTAGGATTTATCATCAACATTATCGACGATATGAATTTATCGTCAATTAAAATTACGATCACTTTCCAACAAACTAGAGAGTAGAAATATCACATGGAACTCTGTGCATTATGACATGGAAGTTTCAATCGCTCTCTGACCACTGATTATGGAATTTATAATCATCATTATCGGCAGTAAGAATTTATCGCCAATAAAAATTACGAATACTTCTCTCATACTAGAAAGCTAAAATCACATTTGCAGCTCCATGATTAATGACAACACAAGATTTAATCCTTTTCGGACCATTGCAAAACTTTATCGTCACGTCGCCGATGAGAATTTAATTATCACTTTAAAACAAATTAGAGAGTAAAAAGTTCATCTAGATCTCCGTGCATGGTGACAATATAAGTTTTAATCACTTCCCGACCATTGCAATAAAAATTAGCGGCAATAAGAATTTATCATCAATCAAAATTAGGACAACTTTTCAACAGACTGGAGAGGTAAAATCTCATCTACAGCTTTATGCCTAATAACAATACGAATTTCGATTTTCTGATTGCTTAAAGCAGAATTTGTAAAAATATTATAGCCAATGAGAATTTATCATGAATCTAAATGTTGACTAATTTTAGACCATCTGGAATGTTTAAAATTTTAATTTTAAGCTTTGGACTGCATAGCAATAAGAGTTTGAATCGTTTTTTCAAAATTTAAAGGCGAATAATGTAATGTGGAGGACTTCGTGGAGGACTTTTTTAATAGAACTAACTCGCAGCGTTACATGGAGAGGAAGACCACGAGAACCTCCGACGGTTAGCCTAACGGCGAAAAGACTAACCCATGATCCGTCTACCACTGACGATATTTCAAGTCAGCACTGTGGTCGGTGCAAGCCGGATGCGGATTCGTTTCGACCAGCCATCGCTGGGGATTCGAACCCGGTTCACCTCATTCGAAGGTGAGCGCTCTATCCCCTGAGCCATCGCGGCTGGCTGAGGACTATTTGTGGCAATCTAGTCAAGAATATCGGTAACGCAATACGATCATACCGTTGATTAAAAAAAATAGGGGTTCTGAGTTCGATCCTAGCAGCCGACTAAGCAAACATCGTATATAAGCAGCAAGGTACATGATAAGTTAGTCGCGGTTGAAAGTCCTCTCGTTGGTTAGGGGGGGGGGAGTTTTAAGAGAGGGATACCTGCTCAGGCATTTCCACGTCGCTTGACCGTGGTCAAAATTACGCGGCATTCCTATCAAGGCCGCAAGCAAAAGTTTAAGATGCTTCTGCAAAAGTTTTTAAGTTGTTTTAATTATTATATTCTGCAGGAAAAAAAAATGTCGAAAGTCTCCTATAATTTATGCTGATTTACTTTCAGAACTATGAAGAATATCTCATTTCGAGTTTGCTCTATCCGACATTATTATTCTTGGATTAAATGTGAGTACAAGATAAATAGACATTGTACGTAAATAGTTGAAATTGAAGATAAATGAAACATGAGAAATAATAAAAAAAATGTAAGTCATTTATTGTAAGAATGAATTTCCAAATACAAACATTCATGAAGACATATTTTCAGTTATGGTATAAATAATAATGCAAAATAGTAAATTATTCTTCTACATTTGTATCATCAGCATTGATGCATTCGTAGTAATCATTTTTTGAAACAAAAGTTATCGTTCTCAGTTGATTATCTCAGACACGTGACCAAGTTCTCAGTTATTCTAGTTATTTTTCTCAGACTCCTAGCTTCCTTCAGATTTTTCATTTTCTTGTTGTTCTTCAAAAATATCTGAAATACAATTTTTTTTGTAATTACAAAAGATTAATAAATATATATAAAAAGAAGCAGTTTTTAAAATACGAGTATTATGAGTATTTAATTCCTATCGATTCCATGCCATTGGTGTCTATGCAGATTGGCGAAATCATTTATCGAGACACGCCATACTTCCAATAAAGATGATTATCTTTTGCAGATAAGTCTCATTCGAGCGAAATATCTTGTTAAAAAGTTTGAAGTTTTTGTAATTTTAAAACACTAAAAAAATAAAATAAATTTAACATTTATAAAGTGTGATTGCAATAACGAAAGTTTAATAAATAAATAACTACAACATTTAAAAGTTATGAGCATTTCATACCTGCTGTTTTCAAGCTAATGATGTCTTTGTAAGGATGTCAGATTGTTCTATAGAAGACACGTTATACTTCATTTAAGGATGTCCATCTTTTGCACGTGAGATTTTCTTTCTTTCTTTTTTTTTTTGATACTGAATTCTATTTATAGTCCTTTCTACAGATTTTTTTTCTCCTTTCATTCTATGGAAACATCTGTGGAAACATTTATAAAGTTTTATTGAATAGCAAAAATTAAGAGAATAAACACGCTAAACATTTAAATATTATGAGTATTTAATACCTGATATTTTTATGCTAATGATGTCTGTGTAAGGGTGTCAGTTAGTCCTATCATTTATCAAGACGCATCATACTTCATTTAAGGATGTCCATTTTTGCACTTAAGATTTTATTTTTTTTGGATACTGAATTCTATTTATAGTCCTTTCTACAGATTCTTTTTTTCCTTTTAGTTCTATGAAAACATCTGTCAGAAAATAGACAATTTTTTATTTGCAAATATTTAATGAATAAATTTAAAGAACATATATAATTAATGAGTATTTAATACCTGTCTTTTCCCGCTAACGATGTTTTTCTAAGGATATCTTTTGGGCCAATGATCTATCGAGACGCGCCATGTTTTCTTTAAAGGTTTCCATCTCTTTAGCACAAAATATTATATTCAGCTGCTTGAACACTCCTTCCATTTTCACTGACTAAAAATGTTTGCTAAGTTCTTTAACATTTCATTACAATACAGATAAACTGTCTTCAGAAAATTTCTGATATCAAATCTGTAATGCTAGTCAGAGTTTGTATGAATCGTGAAGATTTTCCTTAAAACTCAAAAGGTTTTTTCTTTCTTTTAAATTTAACTCATTGCACCTTTTATTCAAAGTCATAATTTCAAGTTCATACCAGAGTTCAATCTTTGACCAATCATCTGCTAAGAAGCATACCACATCGATCAGTCCATAACTGTACGATTCCATAGATTCCATCGTTTCCATGACTGTTTTTTTTTTTTTCAGAAAGTTCAAAACTTTATATTCATTACGTTTTTCATTACTTTGCCTCAAATTCTGGCTATAATATGCAATCAGATTTCTTTAAATTTCGATGCTAGGACCAGTATTCCGTTTTCAATGAAGTCTACCATATGTTTCATCAACCACCATTGAATCATCTTCACTTCATGAAAAAGAGCAGGGCCAGTGAAATATATCTGTCATCGTCATTGAGTAAATTCATGTTCAGAATGCTTAACTGTATTTTTTTTTTTTTTTTTTTTTTTTTTTTTTTTTTGGAAACCCTATGTTGACACACCACTTAATCATTACGAAGACCACGCAATGATAGCAATTTTCATTTCAACCTCAAACTATTTAAAACTAAATCGAAGAATTCGATTTTTGCAGGCATTCAATTTCCTCCGTACCCAACTCATAAAAGTATCGTCTCGAATCGTGTTGTTATTACTCGTGGAGATGTGCACAGGCGAATCATCATCCACGGCTATTGATTTCGGACTGCTAGTAGTTTGGGTACAGTTAGAAATCATGATCTTTATAGGAACAGATGTTTTCCTCTCTGCAAATTCGTCGATTTTCAAATGCATCTTCATTTTCCGAACCTTCCGTTCCAATGATACATTTTTATGTTCCCACTCTTCGACTTTCTCTTTTAACTCCTCGATTTTTCTCCCTGATACCTTTATTACGCACTTCTCGCATTCAGTGTTAGCTCTCTTAGCATTAAGTGGCTCAACACTCTCATCAGCTTCACGTTTCACTCCCCGATTTCTGTTCACGCTAACCATTCGGGGCTCTTCTATGTTAGGGTTACCAAAACTTATCCACTTTAGATGTGGCCCTGCTCCAATTCGGCTACCACTCTCAAAAAAGCAGTGGTCAGCTGCCTTTGTAGCGTTCCACCTCTCTCTCCGATCGGGCATCAGAAAAGTGTGGATGAAATTCAAAGCAAGTTTCACTTGCCCTTCTGATATGCCCGTCTCGGAGAACATTCCACGAATGGAACTCTTGAAAAATTCTCCCTAAATATGAAAAAAAACTGCAATTAATTTTTAATCATGAATAGCCTTTTAGAAGTTAAAAAAACATTTGTAAACTACCTTCATGTTATTAAAAATTTTTGATCGTCCCAAAAAATATTTGGATATCTTTCTTTAACACATGGCCTGCCCGTCTAACCAATCATTAAATAACTAGAAACTAAATTTTCAAATATTAGAAAAATTTTGGTAATTTTTGAACCGCTTTAGCATGACATATCTGTAAAAAGAGGTGAATTATATAAGTCTACGAATTGTTTAGAAATAGTGGTGAATAAAAATCTACTAAATTGAATTTATTAAACCAAGAACCACAATTAATAAGCTACCGCTTGAAAACATTTATTCGCTGTCCGGAGCAAGTTGGCATCTCTGTGTATATAAGTAAAACTATTTTTGTGTGTTCTGTAGTGCATTAATTTCTTCAAACCATTTTAGTAACAATAATAAAATAATTAAAAATTTACTCGAATTATGTGTTTCTAATAATCTTGGCTTCACCGGTGACCCCCGAGGCGCTACGAACAAAATCAGTGCCGGTCACCGGTGATCACCATGGCATTCAACGTGTAAAACAATGACAAGACTTCAGAGAAACTTTAAATATTGTTTTACGAAGATTTGAAAAAGAGCCTGCACTGTACAAAATTCCAGATCTAATTACGATAAAAATTACTTGCTCTCAGGGTGCAGGTATTTTTTATCATAAAATTTATTTCTACCGCTACAAAATATTTAATATACCGTAATTTTACAGTAATAATTACCTTAAAATTATTGAACACCTTTCATTAAATAACTATTACTGTAAAAATTACAGTATAAATGGATTTTGGAAAAAAATGGATTTTACAGTAAAATATATGATGCACACAAAGTGCCGGCACTTCATACCGTAATTTGCTCCGGAATTTTTGTACGGTATAGGCATTTGATAATTATTCGTAGCATTTTAAAGTTCTATATTCTTTCTGACGACTTGGAAAGTATAACAGTATTGCATAAGTGATTGTGAAGTAATACGAATACAGATTATTATTTAAAAATATTACTTACCACGTTTTAGTAATAAAATAGAAGTTTTCAACCAAACAGAAAACATATGGTTTGACATTGTTTCACAATGAATCTTTCCATTGTATTATTGTATCCATTTTCTCCGAGGAAAAAAATAGCACATTTATATTTAGAATTTGTTTTGAGCTTTTTTCTTTGCGTGTGCAAACAATTATTTTATACAAAAAAAAAGCTTTACAAATTATTTTTGCATATGAAAAAATTTAATTATTATAATTTTTTTAAAGTTTGATTTCTTTTATAAAATGTTCTTAAAATTATATTTTGATCAAAATACAGTAAATATGCTTTGAGTCGGTTGAGGTTTTCAATTTAGCTGTGTATTGTAGAAAAAAAGTTTTAATTAACAGAATATAGTGTTGCTTGGATTACCAGAAGTAATCATTCAACTTAATAAATTTAGTGTTCTATTAAAATGATTGAATAAAAATTTTAATAAATATGAACCTACCTGAAGGATGTTAAACAGGGCTGGATAAACATCCATTTCCCAATTTCCCGCGTTGACTGATGTTCCAAGAAGAGCTTGGTTGGTAAATAGCTCCAGAACCATCATGCCATACGCCCACATATCATATGCTCTACCCTCAATCTCTGCTTCACTACCAAAGGATAGGCAAGATTCGGGAGGTCTATATAAGGGTGGCAATCCAAGTTCAGACCTGTAAAATAGTAAAAAATAAGTTTAATTTAATATTTAGAAAAATAACTTAAGCCTATTTCAACTCAAAGCAATTTAACAATTTCATTCTTAACGCAATACGATCTTGGTCTTATATATTAGAGGCTTGCTTCGATACAAAGTTGAAGGAGAAAAATTCAAAATTTTGTTGTCAGTTTAAATGTGTCGAATAGATTATAAGATAATAATGTCAGTTATACTTAAAAAAAAACTCAAATTAAAAAAAATAATTCAAATAAAAAACGGAGTAGAATAGTAATTTTTATCTTAAAATACTTCAAGCTACACAGTTTGACAAATATTAAACAAATCTTTAATTGCTCACCTTGGTATTGCCTTCGTTGTTGATGCAAGAAATGAAAAGTCGCAGATAACAGCTTTGTTATCATGCGATATCAAGACGTTATCTGCTTTCACATCTAAGTGACAAACCTCATTTGAGTGCAGATATGCCAAACCACAGAGAATGCCATGAAGCCATGATTTTATGCAGTCTAGGGCACTTGATTGACTCAAGAATGTCCTGTCCTGGACTGCATGTAGCAAAGTGTCCCTTAGCACGGGCATCACAAAAATTGCTACATCTTGGTCATTGAAGTAGCCGTATTCGAGGAGGGGGATAATATTTGGGTGAGATAATTTTGGCCAAATTTCAGTTTCATTTGGTTTGGCTACTCCTAAGGCGACCATTTTAACGGCAACTTCTCGGCCTGAGTAGTCAATCATTTTGTAGACATCGCCAAAGGCGCCAGACCCAAGCTTGTCGATGCATACAAACTGATTGGCTTCTAGGACTCTCATGGCATCTCTTCTGTGTTGGTAGTGTTCTCCTGATAAATCAGGGGGGATGGGTTCGTCTTGATGATCATCATCATCACTCTCCGCGATATCACCGAATCTTCCCATTTCTCAAACTTTTTATCAAAACGCAGGAAATTAATTCCCAAAATCAATTTGCTGTTTAGCAAGAACTCTAATAAGCACATTCAATCTTGAAAGTACAAGTTAGAATGGCCAACAATGCTTTAGAAAAGGTTTATATAGAGTTTTAACAATGAATATTTTTCAGTTCATGAACTAACGATTAAAATTTAATTGTTAAGAAGTAGTTAAATGTTTTGAACAATGAAATTTCGTTTAAGTTTCATGTTGCTGAAAATTTTAAAATATCAATTCATTGTTGGAAAAATAGTAAAATGACTTTTAAGCGAAACATTTATATTGTTGAAATTTCGCCATAAAACTGGTACTTAAAATCACTATATGGAAACACGAATATTTAAATACATGTAAATTATACGTACCAATGCAATCTTGTTATACCTATTCGGAATCATAATTAAAAATTATTAAAATAGCGTGGCAATCAGAGTGCGCGCCTTGATATTTAAGCAATAAAAAGCAAGATATTGAAATCTATCAAATCCTCAGATGATAAGAATTAAACAATTCAAAACAAATTTTATTGCTATAAATATTTCGAATAATTGATTTTCAATCACATGAAGCCACACCAGGGACTACTTTTGGGGGCTAGGCATTAATAAGTTAAGTTTAAAAAAAAAAACACAACTGCTTAATTAAAAATCCAGAAACAGGTACTAAGTAAATGGGATTATTCTCTATTTTCCCCCTAAAACCATGATTCTAGTTAAAAAGGTTCTATACTTATTTTAGACAATCAAACATATTTTTAACGTACACTTATAATAGCTGTAGTGCTAACAAGTACTACATCTTACATTGGTTTAATTTAATATGCCGTTATTTTATTTAAATACTTTACAAATACCCTATATTTAACAGAAGACATAACAGTAAATTATGTTAACAATATCAACAAATCAAATGAAAAAGTTACAAACTTCTGCGCTGTCGTCAACCACTCCATGTCCAACCAATATCTTTTATTAATTTTCCTAAATATAATATATAACTCATAGTGAGAAACAATTGTATAGTGTGTAAAAAAAAATTAAAAAAACAGCCAGAATCATTTTTGATATCATGATCGGATCTTCACGTTCTAGGACAAACCCCGCTATTGTGTTAACACGGTTTATAGTGAACAAAATTTTCGCTCACGTGTCTTGCTGCACAAGTACAGTCAATTCGCTATAACTCGAAGTACGATAACTCGAATATTACTATAACTCGATTTTTTTTATGAGGTCCCGACCCTTTTATCTTCAATTTCATGTTAATTATTCTCGATTACTCGAATTTTACTCCCTTTAACTCGATTTTTTTTTGATCTTTTAAAGCAAGAGAAAAAACCTAGGAGCTGATATCTCTCCCCTTCCTTTGCAACACTCACACAATGTCTTTCGCACTCTTCATGGAGAAGCTAAAGCTGTCCCTCTTGAAGTATGTGAACAATGGTTAAATGAAACGTTACCATATTTACTTAAAGGATACAATTAAAAATAATGTTTTCAATATTTATGAAATGGGTTTATTTTTTAAATGTCTTTTAAATAAGACTAGGATGTTTAAGGATGAAAACTGCTCAGGGGGTAAAATGAGCACGGAACGTTTGACTGTCCTAGTTGAAGGAAATGCGTCTGGGACAGAGAAATTGCCCTGACTTGTTATCGGAAAATACCGAAATCCCCAATGTTTCAAGAATGTAAAAACGTATCCTTTGGATTACAAGTCTAACAAAAAGTTTTGGATGACATCAGTTTTATTTGAAGACTATGTAAGAAAATTGGATCGGAAATTCTTCGCTAAAAAAAGAAAAGTGATACTCTTTATGGATAAATGCACAGCGCATAGTGATCTACCTAATTTGAAAGCAGTAAACTTGCAGTTTCTCCCGCCAAACACAACAGCAAAGTTGCAGCCGATGGACCAGGGTATCATAAAGTGCTTAAACAGTTAAACAGTCTTATCGTAAATGGCTTCTCAGAAAAATGATCTTAAATATTGTAAGCATTTAGAAGATTTGTAACTAATAAGCATTAATTAAATAATCCGACAATATTTTGAAAGTCCAAAACCTAAACTAACGGTAAGTCGAACTTTTTCGTCAGTCCTATCAGATTCGAGTTATCGCGAATTCACTGTATAATGTTATTTATTGTGAATATAGTGAAACAAAACAAAAGAGGAAGTTGGATATTATTAACTTTTTCCTGTCTTCGACTGATTTATTTTCTTCATTTTTTTTTTTGTAATAATTTTGAAACTTCTACTTCAAAATAAATACGTATACAGATTTTTAAAACCATTTATAGCATGGAATGTAGCAATGAGCATTTTTTCTTGTTTGCTTCACTATTGAATTCGCTAAGCATTCAAAGAAGCCTCAATCTTCCAGTATCTAGACAAATGCTTCAAATCAAAGCCGATGAATTTGCTAAGCGATTTGATAAGACTACTTTTATGTGATCGAATGTCTGGTTAGACAAGTATAAAAAACGGAATAACATAAAATCAGGAAAAATTATCGGAGACTCGGGAAGTGTTTCCATATCTGATGTTGCACATAAGCTAAAAATTGCTAGTCTTTTCAAGTCGAAGAGAAATAAAAAAATAAAAGTGAACACATTTTTTTTTACTACGTACTATTTTTCAGTCATTTTTTTATTTCATTTTATTGGTCATTTATTTAAATAATATGTAATAACAGGGGGGGGGGTTGGAATACCATTAGTTAAAATTGTTTGGTTCACTATAGCGGGGTTTGACTGTATGTATGTATATATATATATATATATATATATATATCACAGTTAAAAATTATTCGTGTCTTTCAACGTAGTTTAACCAAATCTGAAGAGGATTTAAACCATTTCATAATGGAGTGCCTGCAAGTGACGTAGTTGGGTATTTAGATCCCGATTGATAGTATAAATATTGTTGGTTGTATAAATACTTGTTTACATCAGCAACTGTTCTGTCCATTCTATTTCGAGTAAGTCGAGCCCGTCAAGTATCATTTCTTTAAAGTGATACATTCTATATTCTTTTACAAAGATTCTTTCACAAAGATATCGATTCTCTTCCCACATATTTCTTACTTAGCACAAAGACAGGCATGAAGACATGTAGAACATAAAAAAACTAATTATGCATCGAAGTTGCCAGGTACACAAAACAAGTATATATCACGGTTACAATAAAGTACATAGATAAATAATGAAGCAAAAGACGTTGACTAGAAGGAATTATATTCTAACAAATTCGACGTGCGATATGATATGATATGATATGAATAAATGAAGGTAATGCTGCGTTGTATTTAATTAACATCACGTTAATTAACATTCTAACTTATGAAGGGGAACTTAGCTCGACTTCAACTCGCCATCTTGTTAATAAGCGATCACCTGGCGCTGATATCATTGGTCATGTGTCTGTGTATCTGTGATTGTCTTCTTCTTTAGTTGCAAGCACCCAATTCCTCACATTCACATATGCTCTTTCTTTTTTTGTTTCTTTATTGCAAGTATACAACCTTTTCCTGCAAAACACGAACGAAGCTTTATTAGTTTTGTAAAAGAACAATATACAGTGCACAAAAAAATGGACCATCCTGAATAACTTTTGATCTAATGATCGAATCTGCCGATCAGATGGCCGAGTGGGTAGCGTGCCTGACTGCGGAGCCGATGGTTGTGGGTTCGAATCCCTCTCAAGGCATGGATGTTTCTTTCTCTCTGTGCGTGCTATGTCCTTTCTTCTGTGTGATTATGTGAAGGTAACCCGTCCTATAAACGGGTTTGTGGTTGTATGACGTGGGTGACGCTGCTCCACCACCATGGCTTAGCCATAGGTGCTCACTGAGTAGCGATAAGAGAGTAGCAATTCTGGCATTTCTGAGGCCAATGGGAAGTAGACCCAAGTGCCCGCCATTAACCAAAAAGAAGAAAAAATGATCGGATCTTCGCTTTTTAGGACTCAATCTTAAAGGTTCGAAGGGGGTGACCTTAAATATGCTAATTACAGTACAGACAAAGTCGTATTTTTAAAATTCGATTTCTCAGGTACTATTTGACCGATTTCGCTCAGACTTTGTATAAAGCACTTAGCGTGCTTGCATCTCTTATACTAGTACAACTGATATACATTGCGCAAAAGAAGAAGAAAAAGCTGACTGCTCTGAATAGCTTTTGATCTAATGATCAGATTTTTACCTTCTGGGACCTCAAATATACTAATTATAATTTATAGGAGCAGACAATGTTTTAAGTTTCGTAATAAACACAAAAACGTACTTTCTCTGAATAAACATGCATTTTTTTCGATGATTTCAAATTTCAGACAGCCGAAATATTGGGGAGAGCCGCAATTTAGGAAATATGGTACCGATAATTTGGTCAGGAGGGCGGTCCAAAGTTTGGACCCCTTGATCTTAATTTTACTTTTGCGTATTTCGTCGAACTATATAAGCGAATTAAGAAAAATTTTGCTCACAATTATAAAGTTCGTTTATCTAAAGATAATTCAATGCAAAATATAACTTTCAGTAAATATTTATTTTTTTTTTATATTTTATTTAATAATAGTTGAAATCTTTTGAAATGTAATATATTCAATTTTTTTACATAATTTTAAAGAATTCAATTTTAAGTGACAAAATACAAAATTTGAGCAAAATCAGACGAATTTTAAAAACAACGGAATTTTAAAAACAGGACTTTCAAAATTCCATTTCTCAGGAGCAATTAGATCGATTTTGCTCAAATTTAAAATTTTGTTACGTAAAATTAAATTATTTAAAATGATTTAAGAAACTGTATACCTTAAGTACAGTTTAAAATTTTTATTATTAAAAACTATTTAATAAAATAATATTACTCAAAGTTATTTTTTGTATGGAATTATCTTTGGATACACGAATTTTATAAATGTGTTCGAATATTTTTTAATGAGATTCGGCAAAATACGCAAAAAGTAAA